GGGGGGATGACCAAATGGCGGGATACCATTCAGGGGAGGGGGGTGCCCGCCGGGGTGAAACCATGTATGTATGCATGCATGTACCCGCACGATCATGCCCAATGTCTTTTAGGACTATACAACACCATCTTGTCCAGTCTCTGAACTATTTTCGCAAGAAAGGCATTTCTCAAAGGCTCTGTCTGGCTAAGGATCTTCTCAGGCTGCACTCCGGACATGGAGGTTGGCAAGGCCACTGCGTGCTTTTGCCGCTCGAGCATGCTTTTGATTCCTGCTGGGGACTTCAGCCAAGAGGCCAGGCAAGCCACAAAGCTGCAAACACGACGACAGCAAAATAGCGGTCCAAAGCAGCAACACTGACAAGAACTAGATGGACGAATCAGAGTGGCAGCAGACTTCAGCTAATGACCGCAACCTGAGGACAGCTGCCACGTGGGAGTTCGTTGGATAAAGGGCGAGAGTCGCTTGTCTTTATCTCCCCTGTGTGACACCTTCTGCAACGACATAGGCGCGGTCTTTGGCTGTACGTGGAAGGTTTCCTTTCCTTCTGTGCGACTACCTCTGTCTGAACCGAAGTCTTTCTGAGGCTGATCCCTTTCAGGGATGCGCAACTCGACAGTAAGCTAGGTTCGTGGATCGACAAAATCATGCAATCCTCCAAAACACACAGAGAGAGCAAAAGGCTCTGGCACTGCGCGACGTCAGGCGTGTGTTTCGGGGAGGACAGGCCTCGCCCTTCGGGACAAGGCAAAGCGGCAAAGCACAAAAACGTCGGTCGTACGGCAACAGACAAAGGAATCACGCCGGACGAGACGGCCCCGCACGGCCCTTCCAAATGACATTAAAGCATACGAGACCTCTGCACGATTTTCTGACGGGCTCCTGGAGCACTTGCTATGCACTTACTAGTCGTCTCCCTTGCGCACTCGTTTTCCTTTTGGTCGCTCAGCTGCTTCTGGCTGTCTCGGCTGATTTGCTAGACCTTATGCACCAGATCCATGCAAGAAGCAGGTCTGCACAAGAGTTTTTGGTTCACCTCTCTCTTGGGCTGGGAGAGGTGGCGAGGCGAAGCCGCGCGCTGGAGGAGAGAACCCTCCAGCTCGAGCGGGAGATCAGCGCCTTTGAGCAGCGACACAGGTGCGCAGGAACATGTCTCGGGCCGTCCCGATTCGGGCTCGTAAGTCACAGCCTACACTTTCAACTTTCAACCGGTTCAGCCCAGCAATGCAGGACAAGGAGACGGGAAGTTCCGTGGCGACAACCTTACACTCACGAGAAGCAGGTGTAAGGAATGTGCCATGCGAGCGATGTGTCTTTGGCTTTCAGGTCTGACGACGAGTCCGAGATGTTCGCCGAGGACCGGGTGATGATTCTGGTAACGAAACTGGATGAAGGATTCCAAGTATGCCAGACTGGGTATGGTTTCTGCCTCGCTACGCAAGACACAAAGGAATGACGTAGCACGAAACTTAAATGGATGATGAACGAAAATGAAAAAGTATCCCCCAGCTGCCCACGCCGGGCCCAGGGCGGATAAATGCAGGTATGTTTGCCTCAGGTGTGGAGGAGAGCTTTGTTGGGTGGAGCTCCTCCACAACTCGTCCGCCCCCGTGCAAGTAGAATGAACGAATAGGAGAAGGGGAGTGACTCCCCAATAGCCCATGAAAGATGGCGGATAACACCCCATGTCACACATGTTGGCACACACCTGCACGCACATGTCGCAGCTGGCATACACATCAGTGTTTGACATTTCCTGTCTTTCCGCCGGAACTTGCTTTTGAAGGGTGCTTTCTAAAGGAGCGATTTGGGGTTGGCGAGAAGCAGCTTGGGAACCAAGGGAGACCGACTTTGCTTGAGGAGCCGCTTCAGTGGGGAGGTGTGCCATGGTGTGCGGCAGCTCCTCAGCCGGCATTGCCGTCGCAGACTTTGCATGATGGCTTTCCTCGGGTGTTCCGCTGAGGCATCGTTCGTGACCGGTTCTCAGCGATCGCGGGACGAAAGCACCGAGCAATTTCACGGCCACAAGAGATCTTGCCCGAAGTGCTGGAGACGAAAACAAGTGATCCTAGTAGATAAAGTCGACACCGCCCGCGGTCTCTGAGGACGCCGACGCCTGGCCGCCCCTGCGCCTCCAGGGCTTTGACGGAGAGCTGCTCTGCTCCCCAGTGCCCCAGTTCCCCTTGATGAGGCATCTTGAGGCCCTTTCTTTTGAAATCTGATGCCTTTGGCAGAGGAGCACGAGCTTCTGCAAGTCGGCAGGGCACCCGACTCAGACAATTCCTCCAGAGGAGCAGACCTGGCAGAAGGTGCGGTGCCATCTCCACGGCTCCCAGAGGCCGGCTGCCACCCTCTCGTATTTCAGCACACGCTAGCCGCTAGAGCGCCATAGAGTTCCAGGAGAGCCAGAGGACGTTGATGCCGTGTGGGAGGCCGGATGACAGAAATGACTTCGATGATGCACGCGCAGCGGTTCCGGCAATGTTGAAGCCCGCTCGATGCCCGTTCCAATCGAGGCTTGCATCTGGGCACAGACCAGTCCCCGCAGAGGCGCCGGGGGACAGAACCGAATTCAATGCTTCGTGAGGAGATTCTGAAACAGCACAACACTAAGTTCGAAGCACAACTGGAATCAACGCACAGCGCCCCAAATCGACTTTTACTTGACACGGAACCAGTCATAGAAGACATTTGACAGCCAGAGCCAGGGTGCTGACTGGACTCCGATGACTCCTCCGTTGGGGCTCCAAGTTTAAAGCTGGTTGCGAGGCGGGTGTCTGCAAGCCTGCTCATGTCAGTGGGCTCGGGCTCAGGCCGGTCCTGCAGCAAAGGTGCGCTGCATCGGACACGGAGGCCCCGAGAGCATACCTGGGGAGACTTCCGCTTTCTGTTTTGAGAGCACAGACGCGGCACACGCCTTAAGCACCATGTTCTGATTTTCCTTTTTGTGTGCACGTGTGCACATCATGACACGTTGTAGATGCTGCCGACAGGCTCCACCGAGAGCTGCAGGCATGGGTGGAAACGACATTCGAGACAGTCAGCTTCACACCATCAACTAATGGCCCTTTACTTTTCCATGTGCTCGTCGCATGTTTCCTTTTCAGGCCCGGCAGTCGCAGCACCGAG